GTTGTTGAGTTTAACTGCAACTGGCTCGGAACAGTAAGGACAATTGCCAAATAGGACATTAAATGACCTGCAAAACCAGCATTTATAACCATAAATCAAGCTACCATATAGGTAAGGAAACAGAGGAGAGAGTCCAAGGAAACAAGGGTAGATTATGAACAGGGAAAACCCATCAAGAACAGTTTCAACTGATTTTTTATACTAGTCAAAACTTGAAAAAAGCTACAAAAACGAGCACGTTAATGTTTTGGTTTGAGTGGTGAGGCCAGGAACATACTTCAGTCTGTTTGGATACAATTACAAACAACAACTGGTGGGGTTAGGATACAAAATTGCCTGCCTACACTTTAGAAGTGGGGAAGAATAATAAAAGATGGCCAGCCTTAATTGTGCTGCTCAACCACTGGACCAAACTTGAACAATCCACATTAAAAATGAGGTCACAAGAGACGGTGACCACCACCAACTGAGAAGAAAACTATAGCACCTCCTCAATAACTATTATGGGATGATAAACCCTATCATTTAGTGGACAGCCCTTTGGATGCTTAACTCATTTTCCATTTAGTGATAGGTGAACACATTGAGCACGCCTAAATCCTAAGGCATCCAAATAAAATCCTATGTATACTTTCCTTTCAGCGGCCACAATGATCCTACTTATCTCACAATTAGAAGTGCACAGTAGCACTTGAAACTAAAGAATATGGGGTCTGTGAATTGTATCATGGGTCCTGGTCCCCTATCAAGTTGCTTGCACAGCAGAGATGACAGAAGACAAGACATATGGCAGGACAGTGTCAAGTATCCAGTACCAGGTAAACCAACTTGATGCTAAGATCGATCACTTGGGTGGATGGATGAAGCCAGAGGCAGAAGAGCAGGAAATGCCACAATCAAATCACAATTGATGGGTCATTAGAACTAGTGACAAAAGAGAACTAATCCTGCATTAGGAAAAAAAAAAAAAAAAATCAAAAGGAATGGAAGCTTACTGGGTTGAGAGTGCTGTGTTGTTTGAAGCTTTCCTCCAAAAGAGCAGACTGTTCTTTGGTGAGGCGAAGTTTCTTTCGAGCATTAACACCATCTTCGTCTTCATCGCTCACTCTTGAGGAAACCTTCTCGACTTCCACATCTTCGCTGCTGATGTCTCTCTCCCTTTTTATCCTACCGCTAGAAAACGAAGAAACAGCGCTGTGAGGAGAAGCCTGACGGTACACATCCCTACCGGCAGCAGTCTCCTGATCAGAAACAATCTTTTTGTTGGCAACCTGATAATTGCTGTCACCTGAAAGACTTAACGTAAGGGACGGTTCAAAATTCGCCGCCGCCATGACTGGGTGTTCAAACATGGGGCACGATTTCTTAGAGGGCAGCGGTTGGTTGTTGGGGGTTGAGGTGAAACCCAACCCCAAAACCAGACCTGTGTTACACGCATCATCAAAACCCATGAGAAGGGAAACAGGGGAAAAACAGAGGGAGGAAGAGGAGATGGAGAGAAGTGAGGTTAGGGAGGAAGAGGGGAGGGAGAAGGGCCTTAAGAAGGGAAGAGAAAAGGAGGGAGGTGAGCGGGCGGGGGTGGGTGGGTGGCTATGATTATTAATCAAAGGAATGAATTGAGTAGAAGAACGAATCTGACTGGGCATGGGAAATTACTCCATCAAAGGTCTTTTCTTTATCTCTCTACATAGGTTGACCATTTGAACCCCCACTATTGTTATTTCCGTTTTAATAATAAACAAACCAAGCTATTTTCCGAGAACGTTCCAGCTGCTTATCGAGAATCCTCCCTTTATTAAGAATTTTTCATGTAAATTCGAAAATATGAGATTTAAATGGCATATCAATGTGTTTTTTCTTTCTGAATATGGGAGAATTTAGGGATGAGAAATTGTTTTTAAGTCAATAATAAAAATTAAACTCTTAATTTTAAATATTAAAATTTAAGATTAAATCATTAAAACCAAAAACTCGATTTAAATCTCATCCCAATGTTTAAACAAAAAAGAAAAAAAGAAAAAACCAAGCTATTTCCCTTCACTTTTCTTTCATTCATTTTAGTTAGAAATTCCTAAAGAATTTTAGTAAATGATGGAGTACTGTATTTCTTGGTAACAAGTTCAATTCATACAATCATAAATTTTAAATGTAAACCTAGTTTTATCAGTGTATATATATATATATATATATATATTTTTTTTTTTTTCTAACTTCCTTTCTTTCTATAGTTTTCTTTTTATGGTCATCAGTCTTTCCCGAAAGGATGACATAATAAATGTATAAAATATAGCATTCAGGTTGCACTCATTCAAAGATTGCTAAAGAGAGATTTTTCTTTTATTTTCCATTTTCCGATTAAAAGAAATTGATGTCTTTGAAAATAAGATCAAAGGGACATCATTGGATATTACAAGTTCCCCTTTTTGACAGACCACATGAACTGTCTCCCACTCCATGCCTCGTTTAACTGGCTATAGATGGGTATGATCATGTCACTTTTGCTTACCCATATTGCACTCGTTTTGGTTTATAATAAATGAGGGTGGTGGCCAATTTTTTCTTTGCTTATTATGAATGTGGAGATTAGATAGGGATGTGCACTAGCCATCTATAGTAGTTTGTATGATCGTGGGCAGGGCGGCCAAACCTTTTTCTTGATGGTACATTTGATAATTGAATATGTAACAAAATGTAACTTTTTTTATCTTGACTTTTTTTTTTTTTATACGTCTCAATTATCAAAACTAATATTTTTATTTTAGAATTTTAATTTTTTATTAGTTGAGGCACTCTACTGAGGCATAGGCGGTCCAATCTACTGTTCTTGTCTGTTGTGATGCTAAAGAAAAGAAAAGCAAGGATCGTAGGTAAATGCAAGACACACCACAATTACGGGAAAATCTTATTTTTAACTTTTTATTTTATTAAGTTTGAAAGTTTTAATTTATTATTTTATTAAATTTATAAGTTTTAATCTCACACCTTATATTATGATACTTTTAATTCTTCACTCATTAAAATTGAAAAAAATAATTATTATTTTGTAATATTTTATTAATTTTGCTAACTGATTGTTAATTCTATTAATTGACTATTAGTTGACTGTTAGCTGTCAAAAATCTTTTTTAGTTAATAAAGTTAACAAAATTAATTTTATAATATTTTATTAATTTTGTTAATTAGCTATTAGTTGACTGCTAATTGATAAAAATCTATTTTTACTTAACAAAGTTAACAATCAATATAAAATGAGGGTTATTTGCTTTGATTTTAATAGGTAATGAGCTAAAATCTACAAATTTAGTAAAGTGAGGGGTTAAAAGTATCTTAATATAAAGTAAAAGACTAAAACATTTAAACTTAATAAAGTGAGAGGTTAAAATTAACTTTTTACCCCACAAAAGCACAGTGTCAAATGGAGTTATTATGGTGGTAGAATATGATCCATAAACAAGAATCCTGATCTTTGCTTAACTAGGAAAGGTTGTGTGGACGGTTTAGGAATTGGGACCTACTTGCTAAGCACTTTCAATAATGCTTTGTCGGCTGTGCTGGTTTGGAGTTAGGTCACCCATAAAACATGATAAACCCAAATCACTAAATTTAACCCCTAACATTTAATTATAACAAAAATTCTTTCACGCTCATCTGGGTTAAACACTTTTTTTACCTAATCAAGATTAGAAAAAAGTAGTTTATTCTATATCTTATTAATTAAATTTAGATTAACGAAAAAGATCATAACGAGATAATTTCTTTAGTCAGCATGCATCCTGGGATAATTAACAAATTTATTTATTTATGGCCTTGACATGGTCTCAGTCTTTCCCAGAGCCAGTCATGTATGAGAAAGTTGGACATAAGATTGCTGGGATTCCTTTTTATTACCTAATGAAGTTTGATGAAAGCCCCATAACAAAGTTCTTATATTTTGATTATAATAACGAACAACAATTTGATTAAAGAAATTAATTTTCAGATATTGGGTAATTTTATATTCCATAAGATATGGCATGTAGAAAGTAGAATTGCCGTTTAGCTGGAGGGCACTTTTCTGAACTTTACGTAAAATGCGTACGATATGAAAATCGAATATAAAATGCCTATGTACGGAAGAGTTTGGAAATAATTTTTAATTATTTTCTGATGTTGAATGATGGATTTCGGGAGAATGGCTATTGCAACCTGGGAAAGTGTTAAGCTTATTAAAATTTTTTTAATTTTGCTCGTGCAAACACTTTTATATTTGGTGGTAATATATAAACTCGATTTCTTAGTAATATTTAAAGGGAATATTAATGTCTTTAAGTGGTCTTATAAACTGTGTTTATCATTAAAAAAAATTAGTCATCAGCCTATCAAGTGAATGAAAAGTGTAGTATGTCCTTAAAATTGTCATAAAAAAATTATATTCTAGATATATACAAAAGTTTTTTTTTTTTTTTTTACAAAAAATAACACTTCTAAGCTTTTAATTAAAGAGATTTTTTAATTTGTGTCCAAGCTTAGAACATAGATTAAACATCATTAATTACCATATTTATAATTAATTTTATATAAAATTTTATGTAAAATTTAAATAGAATATAATGTAAAACATAAAAATAAAATAAAATAAAATATTTATACTTATAATTTACAAAAAAAATTATGAATTTAACATAAAAATTTATATAAAATTAATTAAAAATATGTTAATTAATAAGTCTTAACTTATATTTTAATAACACTTGTTAAATAAATCATTAATTAAAACACATTCATAAACATTCGTAATTAGTGGCCAATGGTATGGATAAAGATTTGCACGCGTGATTAGTTGGAGAAAATACCTGTAGGACACGTCCATTGCAAATTAAAGAGTTCAAATTGCCAACGTGCGCATCTCTGGTGCACCAATAATGATGGATCATACCAAATCCTATAGTAATTAATGTGAAAATGAGTAATCATCCCTCCTATTTCTGTGTCTCGCTTTAGTTTGGTATTTCATCCTAATAATATTTTTAAATAGAGTTAAGGGTATAAGTTAAGTGTCTAATAAATCTTTTTTTTTTTTGTAATAAATTTATGTTAAAAAATTAAAATTAAGTTTTAATTTATTAATTATTTAATTGAATTTATCCACACATCAACACTAAAATTAATATTAGTTTTTATTTATATATATGTTTATAATAAAATATATCCTTAATTAAGGTCTTAAAATAAATGTTAAAAAAATTCTTTTAAATACTATAATATAATTAACTTAAAAATCTATTCTTCCTTTTATTTTCTTTCCTTTTAATCCAAATATACTATAAAATTTGATAACATGTTCCTTCTTATTTCAATGAAGTGGGTATAAATTGGAGGCAAAAAGGAAAGAAAATGGATACAAGTTGAATCACAGCACTTGCTAAATTATAAAATAATAATAATATTTTTAATATAATAATAATAACAATAATAATATCTAATTTTAAAGATCAGATTCATTAATAAATACATATTTTTTTTATAAACTATATTCAAAATCTAAATTTTTTAATCAACACTTAAACAAATTAATTTATGTATATATACCTACAAGTAAGTATAAGTTGATCTTTCTTATTAACAAAAAAAAATAATTTTTTAAGAATTACAAAAGGTACCGCAACTTATTGCATCCTTACATACACAAACCTTACCAACAGCCGAACATAGTCCACGAAACCAAAGCAAAACTACACAACCCACTCAAATACATATTTCGTCGAACAAGTGGTGTGCATCACAACAATAGTTTCTATATATCTTCCAAATCTCAACTACCCCCAAACCCAACAATTTTTCACGAGGCAAAACAAATCTTCAATGCAGCCATAATCACTCAAACCCCTCATAAAGGAAATTAAAAATGCACCTTACACCCACATGAGCATGAGCGTTTGGTGTATCGTACAATCAAATGCATAATCAAATTTATTATTTGTTTATTTTTTAAAAATAAAAAATAAAAAAATTAATTTAAAATAAAATTTAAATAAAAAACAACATTTAATTTGAAAATAAAAGAGTACTGACTGAGAATTTTTTAGAGCTTGCAGGAGAGCAAATTCTACGTAGTAATAAATATATATTTTTTTGATATGTTAGACTTAAAAATAAATAAATAAATAAAAAGCATTAAACTGTTTATTCCACTTTTCCTTGGCAATCATTATTTTGTCCCACATTTTCTCCTCATACGCTGTTAGTTAGACGTAATTTCATCATCATGATAAGGCTTGGCCGCTTGGGAGTAGTCTGGATGCCGTGCATATTTCTTTCAGACACAACTTGTTTCTCTCGAACAAAGTCTCAAATCTACGGATTTGAATTAGGCCTAACCCAACCTAATCGCATTAAGTAGGTGTCATCATTGTGAGCCTAAAATCTTGAAAAGAGAAGAGATTTTGTAAATCTTGGGTAATTATTTCCTCTTAATTGGATGCATCATGCATCCTTTAGGTTGCATCTGGTGAATGGTAATGAGAAAGATGAAAGCCACTCGTTTGAATTTTGATTCTTTATATA